TTTTCTTTTCTTTTTTTTTTTTTGAGACAGAGTCTCGCTCTGTCGCCAGGTGCCAGGCTGGAGTACAGTGGCGCAATCTCGGTTCACTGCAACCTCCGCCTCCCGGGTTCAAGCAATTCTCCTGCCTCAGCCTCCCGAGTAGGTGGGACTACAGACGTGCGCCACCATGCCCAGCTAATTTTTATATTTTAGTAGAGACGGGGTTTCACTGTGTTGGCCAGGATGGTCTCGATCTCTTGACCTCGTGATCCACCCGCCTCAGCCTCCCAAAGTGCTGGGATTACAGACGTGAGCCACCGCGCCTGGCCAAAGCCAGCTCAATTTTTAAAACACAATTCAAAGATGGGAAAATGATCTAAAGAAGATACAAAGTTCAACTGCACATATCAAGATGCTGAGCATCGTTAGACACCAGGTAAATGCAAATCAAAACCACAATAAGATACCACTTCACACCCTAAGATGAATGTAATTAAAGAAGACAAAAGTTGGTGAGGACGTGGAGAACTTCTCTTGTTTTTTGTTGAGGGAAGTAAAGTGGTACTCCCACTTTGGAAAACAGCCTAGCATTTTACCAGAAGATCAAACATAAAAGTTCGTCTCATAAACAAGCCATTCCATTCCTAGGTATATACCCAAGAGAAATACAGCAACATTATCCATAGTAGCCAAAAAGCAGAAACAACTCGAAAGTCCGTCGACTGATGAGAGGATAAATGAAAATGTGGTATATCCAAACAATGGAGTTTCATTTGATAATAAAAAAGAATGAAGGGCCAGGCACAGTGGCTCATGCCTGTAATCCTCAGCAATTTAGGAGGCGGTAGTAGATGGAACACATGAACCCAGGAGTTCATACCAGCCTGGTAACAAAATGAGACCCCATCTCTACCAAAAGTTAAAAAAATTAGGCGGACTTTGTGACCCACACCTGTGGTCCTACCTAGTTGGGAGGCTGAGGGCACCACTGCACACCAGCCTGGGTGACAGAGCAAGACCCTGTCTCAAAAAAGGAACAAAGTAGCAATGCATGCTACGAATTAACCTTGAAATCATTATGCTAACTGAACGCAGTCAGTCGCTAAGGACTACATGGTTCATGATTCCCATTTCATGAATCCACTTATACGAAATGTCCAGAATAGGCACATCCACAAACACAAAGTCTCTTAGTGGTTGTCAGGAAATAGAGTGGAATGGGGGAGTAACTGCTGATGAGTATGGGGTTCCCTTTGGGGCAATGATAATGTTCTAGAGTTAGATTGTAGTGATGGTTGCACAACTCTGAATATACTAAAAACCACTGATTTATACATTTTAAACGCGATGAAATACATTACGTCAATAAAGCTGTTATAGAAGGGAATGTCCTTTATCAAAAACGTACAGCAAACGTAAATAGTGACAAACTGAAAGCTTTCATTCTGAGATCTGGAAGGCAACCAGGATTGCTTTTTCTAATGTTTTGGAGGTCATAGGCAGGGCAGTAAATTTGCGGGTCAGGCAGGGGATCATAATAGGATCATAAAGGAAGAATAAACTTATTCCTAGATGATGTCAATATGTAAACAACCAAAAGAAACTACAGGTAAACTGAAAACTAGGATCTGCAGCTTGCTGCATACAAAACATACACCCTGAAGGCTCAAAAAAGCACAAGTCCCATGGAGGGGGATCTGGCCATATCTAGGAATCACACGTTCATTTGTCCTTTGACCCAACAATCTGACTTCTAAAAACAGACATTGAAGACCTAAGGCAACACGCACAAGCCCACTCAGATGGGAACTCAAATGCCTATCAGGCACTAGGGTGCATCCACAAAACAAGAAAAAAAAAAGGGCGGGGGGGGGCGATCTCCGCGAATCGATACCGCACATCCCAAGACATGCCTTCTGACAGTGGAAAGTGAGGCACACGACGGCATTTTCTTGAGAAAAAAAGTCTCAAGTGGGGAAGACGTTTAAAGAGGAGGGTACAGAAGGTGGAGAAAGGCCCCGCCGACGCGCCCTGACCACATGAACCCACTCGCCTCCTCCCGGGGACCACCGCCTGGAATGGCCGCCACGAGATGGGCAGTGCCGGGAGGAGCCGCGGCCCGGTGCTCTGGGAAGAAACGCTGCGTCAGCCGGAGGCTCGGGCCGGAAGCGGCAGGTGAGGTATGGAGCACTGCGCCCTGGACCCCTTCCCTCCCGACTCCTCCGGCCCGACTAGCGGGGCGCACCTGGGCCTGACACGCCGCGACAACCACCAACGCTAAAGCCTTGCTCAGCTGTACAGAGCAGCTCCGGGAGACAGTCCGGCCCGGACACGCACTTCCGCTTCCGCTCACGGGTTGTGAGGGGCGGGCTCCGGAGCTCTAGCCTTTGGCGCATTCGCCCTGAGCACTTCGGGGCGGAGCGGGGCTGGGCGGTCCTTCAGGACGGGGCGTGGCAGGCAGTCCTGCTCCCTTTGGGCGAAGGCGGGACTCTTTATTCACTCAGAGAAAATAAATGCACAAGCCAAGTAACTTGCTGAGGTCTCAAAGCTAAGTAAAAGAGTCTGCAGGAACTTGAGCCCAGCCAGGTCTTTTAGTCCGTAAGGTCTTCCCTAAGGGAAAAAGCAAGCGTCCCCAGAGGAAAACGGGACTGTGCGGGCGTGGGAGGAAAAGGGGTCTAATTGCCCCCTCCCCTCTTCCTGAGCAAAGAAAGACCCCCGAGAACAGGGATACTTTGGTCCAGTCTCCAGTTTAAACGATTAAGTCCAAGTATTTAAACAAAAACTGAGTGTTTCTGTCAGCGCTTCAAATTATCCGCCAAGAAAGGAGATCCTGTTTAGGACCAACAGGGTTTGATTCAGATCTGTACAATCTGAACCCTGGAATTAAAACTGAAAATCTCAATCCGGTGGTAGAGGAAAAGGTGGATTTTAAATGGCTTTGGAGCTGTTACTACTGTATTCAGACATTCCAAAATTCAGACTTTTTAAAAAAAGTCTCAATAGCCTCTCTTTGTCCCTTTT